TTACTACGGTTTTAAGGGTTTTCCATTGTGGTCATAATACCTGCTACCAAGTACTATTTTAGCACCTCCCCACCCGGGGTTCCAAGTGAGCAGGTACTAAAATGTGACGTCGTCAGACTGCACGCCACCAAGTGGGGAGAGAGACCACACACATTAGGCTACATCTACACTAATCCGGATAAATTTGAAAACTGCGTTTTTGTCTAAAAACTCTCTGCTTTCACACTATCGTTTGTAATCGTTTACGAACAGTTGTTCATCCACACTGAAACGACTGAAAATGTTCCTGTATTGCACATGCGTGAAATGTAAGACAATTCGACCTGCGTTATTTCTATCTGCCATTTATATTTGAAATGTTGCTGCTAAATGTCGAGGAAAAGCACCGAGTTTTTTAAATGGGCTGACTGCGTTTTCGCAGTCCACACTGTGACGTGAAAACGGCGTTTTCAAATGTATCCACTTTGGAGAGTTTTTTCAAAGAGTTCAGTTTTCCTTGACCAAAAACGTTGTCTCAGTGTGGACGGAAGTGAGTTGATTCAAGTAGTTACTAATGGAAAAGGAGCTTTAGCAACAGGCTCATTGCTCACAGTCAAACTAAAAAAATCTACTCCAAGCACACAATAATAAAAGACGCACACTCTTTTAAAACAAAGAAAGTAAAGTACACAAGCCTAGGAATTTACACTCCACAGGCAAACAGTTGCCTGCACCGATGATGGTCGTTATGACATTTGATCCTAGGAAACACTCCAAAAAGGCGCTCTCTGTGGCGACTGGAGCAAGTCAAACGTGCAAGTACAAATATCAGATGTAAGTAAACACCAGCAAAATAAACGGGCAAGAGATCACTCAAGCCCAGCTATGTTTTATTCTACTTTATAGTCAGTAGCAAAATAATGCCAAATGCTACTTACCCCAGAATTAAGGACGCTATATCAGCTGCTGGTAGTAGTGCAGCGGCCCTCTCCACAACGGCTGGAAATAAGTAAGTCGGCCAATCTGTAAACAGGACAGCAATACGCCACTATACCACTTATTTAACCTTTAAAGTGGATAGGAGGATACACATACGGCCTACCTGTAACTGTTGTAGAGCCTGATCGAAACTGCCTGATTATCCCAAGAAAATAAGTGCATTGGTGCCTGATACTGCACTCACAAAAGGCAAAGAAGCAATTAATAGGGAAATGAAGCCTGCATGGCCTTATACCGACAGTCGCCACCCTGCAATTAGAGTGCAGGTGTGTTTCCACTCAACCCAACCCGAACAGCAGCCAGAGAGAGAGAGAGAGAGCGAGAGAGGTGGAGCGGGCAGAGTAACCCATCTGGCTACATTAGGTTGGGAAAACCTGCAGTCAGCTGAGACTGAAGAAGTCACTTGGATGATTGATGAAATGTTTCTCCCACTGAAAACGCTACGTTCAGATGAACAGAATCAACGTCTCAGATCTCCTTACCTGGATGACTAAGCATGCATCAGGACAAGTTCCAGTAAGGGGAAATGATGTTTAAATAAAATCCAACAGAGCGATCAAATGGGATGCAATGACATAAATCAGGATGAGAAACAATGGGACAGAATGGCTCAAGCTCAAAGGCTTCATTACATTAGTGATCTCATGAGTCAGACCCTATTCATTGCCAAACCCCACCATCATTTGATCTCAGATACGCACGTTGTATCTTCAACTGTGGTAACATGAAAGTTGAGAAACTAACATGTTACCAAAATCTGTTGCCAAAGTTTTCAAAAACACTTTTGTCATAGTTCCAAATAGAGAGCATGCCTTCAAGACTACTTTTTGCCATGTTGACACAGAGACAGTTTCATAAGATGGTAAACAATACCATCTTACGGGATTGTAAAAAAACCCCAAAACCCTAAGATTGATTGGGCCAAAAGGTATC